CCCCCTCTCTCTATCTATCTTTCTCCCCCTCTCTCTATCTCTCTCTCTCTGCCGGTATATCAATGAGCTCGTGTCTATATAGCGGGGCGTCACGTGAACCACGCCCACGTCGTAGCGACAACGTAGGTAACTACCGGTTCTAGGAAATCGTTTCTACCGCGTCGCAATAGTTATTTAGAAACCAGCCTTACCGACGTGGCCCTGCGCCCAGACGTACTGTCACAGGTAGCGATGGAGCGAAAGCCTATACGTAGGTATCACCACGAGTCAATAATAACAGATTTATCTGTTGTCTTTATGAATTATTATTATTATTATTATTATTATTGTTATCTATTATTATTATTATTATTATTATTATTATTATTATTATTATTATTATTATTGTTATCTATTTTTTCTTCTTCTTTTTTTCTATATTTTAATTTACTCCTGCTATCATGCACCTACACATGCAGGCAGGGCAGCATAGAAGCAGGAGTCAATAATAACAGCTCTGTGATAGAATGATGATTCCTGGTAGAAGGCAGAGAAGAGTACAGAGACATGGAGTCAGATACGATGAGAAACACCGCGTAGATACTGAATATATTCATATATTTATATATCCATGGTTTTCTTAAAACGATGACACGTACGTGAGATAGTCCGATTTAGAATGAAGAAGAACAATCACAACGGGAATCGTATACAAATTAAGGCACGCCGGCATCTGTTCATATGTTGTGTGTGTATACGTACGTATGTCTGTATTTTGCTCCAGACAACGATGTAGCGATTTACATCAAGAGTACATGATAGGAGATCTCCTATTATATGTACTCTTGATTTACATGGGTGTGTCAACATCTATATCTCCTGCATTTTCCGAGCACCAGTAAACAAAAACGATAGCAGTTAACTAATCGACGTAATCATGGCCCACATGCACGCACGCACGCACGCACGCACGCACGCACGTACGCACGGACTCATGTGCGCATATACACACACGCACGCACGCACGCACGCACGCACGCACGCACGCAC